GACTTCCAGGAGCCTCTCTGCCCTTCCCCAGCCTCATCTCATCTCCTACATGTCCCACAGCTGGAGCACACAGGAGGACCACCTGGGTTCCCCCTTCTCCTCTTGTAAGACCTGGCTTCTCCTTGGGAGCACAGAGAAGGTGCTCTCTCTTCCTCCCACACTCCTCTTCAGCAGCAGCCTGACCTTTGGGTGCTGGTTAAATGTCAGAAGGACTGGCCTCTGTCCCTGCGCTCTGAAACCCAGTGGGTCGTTAATAGTGAATAGGGAGCGAGGGCCTCCCGATCTCATGTTTGTGAGATCCACTGAGACCTGGAACTCCCTAGTCCTGAACTTTTTAGTTCAGACATCTGAATTGGGAGCACTATAGCCAGGCAGGGGAGATATTCTTTTATCCCTGGGATGGTCTGGGCTCAGAGGGGTTGACTACTTTGGATAGAGTCACACAGCTAGGAAGTAACAGAGCTGGGGCTGCATTGCCAGAACATGGATAAACCTCAGTAGGCATCTCAGGTCCACATGTTGCAGTGTAGAAGGCCAGCCTGGGCATGAGGGTGCCTGTGTTCATCAAGGTTCATGGCTGCTTAGCCTTCCCACAGCCTGAATTTGCTGAGTTTCTAGGGCCACCAGGACCCAACATCTCAAGCTATACATCTTAAAACAACCTAAGTGCATCTTTCTAGCACTGGCGGCTGAAGTCCGAGACTCAGGTGTCAGTAGGGACATGCTGGTGCTCTCTCTGCAGGACCCAAAGTCTGCCTGGCCCCTTCCTAGTTCCGTCGTTGCTGGCAGTCCTTGGCTTGTAGATCTGACTCTGTACACTGGCTCTCATCACATGAACCTTTCCCTGGGTCTTTGTGCCCCGGTGTATGACCTTCGTATCAAGTCATAACAGCTCTGACACACACTTCCCTGCAGTTCAATGTCTTATCTTGGAATCATCTGCAGTGATTCCATTGCCAAGCAATCTGCTCACGTGGAACAGGGGTCAGACCTTCATCTTTCTCTTTAGGAGACACAGTTCAACCCACACGACCATCTTTGCCCATTCTGAAAGCCAGAGACAGACAGAAGAAGGCTATGGCTCTCTACCACATGGATTTTGTTGACCCATTGTTTCTCAGAGTCCTGGTTAGTGCTCCCTCCCAGGTCCTCCCACTCCCCATCCTCTAAGCCAAGGAAGACTGTGCCGTGGCAAACTTGCCACAGATGATGAGTCAAAGGCTCAAAACAGCCATGATACCCTCCCAAGGCCACCAGCTGAGGGGCCTGAGCCAAGACTCCAGCCCAGGCTTCAGACTGATCCATGAAGAGCGTGGAGCCTTTTCCTGAGGAGGGAGCTTCATCTTCACACTGCCTACCAAAAGTAACGCTAATCTCTCCCTGGGGTGGGGGGTGTTGAGGTGTAAAGCAGGCAGTGGACACAAAAATGACATAAATTGTAAATTGCCCATAGACATTAGTGTCTGTTACTGTGGCAACCGCCCAGCCTCGGTGGACCTCAATGGCTCTGGATAGCGAGGTCACGTCCGCATTTTAATTTAATTGCATTACTTTCTCATCATAAAAATGAGTATTGTATATACCGCCAAACCCATTGACTTGTATATATTATGCACACAATTTTCTGTACTGATGACACCCTGACAAAATTATTAAAATAACATATTTTCATCATAAAACATTTAAAAAGTAGAAAGAAAAATTATTTTTTTTTTTGCATCCATGCTGTTACAGGAAGCTCTGTTAACATTTTGGATATTTTTGCCCCTCCCCCCAGCCTGTTTGCTTATTTAACAAGGCTGTGATCACTGGTCTAGATAATTAAGACATTTTATATACAATTTTATATTCTGCTCTTTCTCCCTTTAGGGAGTTTTAATATGAAATAGCAAGAGTCCCGCCCCGTCTGGGGCTCCAGTGCACAGCCCGCACAGCCCAGGGTGTCCAGATGTCCCCAGGCCAGGGCAGATGCCACACGGAAGGATGGGTTCAGGTGACCAGGATAAGCGCTCTCTCTCTCTCTCTCTCTCTCTCTCTCTCTCTCTCTCTCTCTCTCTCTCCCCCAATGAAATATCAAAGCCAGCATTTATCCTAGCTCAGAGGACCAGCACAGTCATGGGCTTCCTCTGGAAAGCATGCACTGGCGCTGCAGGTACAGCTCAGTGGTGGTTGCAAGACTCTGGGTTCTATTTCTCCAGCACCACCAAAACACCCTTTTTTTTTAAAAAAAATAAATAAATCGCATGGATTGAATAGATGTGCACTATGCCTTCCGGATACAGGCCCCATTGAGGCTTTGAAGTGCATTCCAGAGGCCTGACCTCATGAGAGCCAGCCACTGGACAGAGAAGGAAAGTGTGTGCAGACCAGGCCAGGAGAAGGAGCAGGTTGCTGTGGAGGGTTCCACAGTGCAAGCAGGCAGTTCTACAAGGTGGCCACACTGGCTCACTGAGCAGACTGCCCAGGGATGGGAAGAAACATCCCCAGTCTGTGCTGTGTTGGTGTCAAGGGAAAACACCTAGGCCTGTGGTCCAGGCTAAGACCGAAGGCAGCTGGGGCAGGGGGATAGCTGAGTCAGGTGTAGAATGATGGTGGGATAGAGCAGGATGCAGCTGGCCTGGTGGTGTCCCTCACTGGCAGGCAATTTGTTTCACATACACAGAGACCCCAGTTTGGGCTTGTTAGTGGCCTGCTCCAGGCTGGGTTTGGCCAGTGGCTCTGCTGCACCTGTTCCTGTAGGGACCAGTGGACTAGCCTGAGCAGAGCCTCCTGGCAGAGGCAGAGCACAGGGCAGAACTGAGTGTCCTGCTTGCAGCTTGCCAACTGATGTCCACAGGCCCAAGCAACTCAAAGGGCACAGGCCAAAGTCAAAGGCATGGAGTGGTTACTGTCTGGGAGGGAACAGGTGAGTCCCACAGAGGGCAAGGTGGAGGGGTGGGTGGTGTGGGCTCCTGGTGTGTGTCCTTAGGGGCTTTCAGACTACCCTGCGCCTTTGCTTCAGACCTTGCTCCGCAGAGCTGCTAGAAGCCTTGGGCAGGGGAGTGCCATGTCACGGTGTATATTACTCTCTGTTGCTGTGATAGACACCATGACCAAGGCAACTTACAGAAGGATTTGAATTTATGGTTCCAGAGGGTTAAGAGTCCATCCTGACAGGGAGGCACGGCAGGAGGCAGCCAGAGCTGAAAGCTGAGAGCTCACATCTTCAAGCACAGGTGGGAAACAGAGGCACACACTTCAAAATAGGATGCGCTGAACTCTGAGAGCCTGCCCTCACCCACGTGTTTCCTCTAGCAAGGCGACAGCCCCTAAACCTCTGCAAACTGCACCGTCAGCTGGGGCCAAGTGTTCTAATACTTGGAGCCTATGGGGGGCATCTTTTTCAAAGCATCACATGTTGTCCTAGTGTCCTCAGCCTGAGAGACACAGTGAGGTAGACGGCCCATTAAGAGGGGCCCAGGTGTCCCCTTGAGGAGTGGGAAATAGTGTTGGGGTCTGGGCGTCATGAAGGCCAAGATGGCTGTGGGGAGAGGGAGAGGTAACTGCCGCCACAGAAGCGGGAGGGGGAATTCAGGCTTGGGGACCACTGGGGCCGTGTGAGGAGAGACACCATGGTTCAGGGTTGTAGGCATCTCCCTGTTGACTGTTTGAAGAGTGGACTACAGGCAGGAAGGCCTGATGGGCCCCTGCCTGGGCTCCTGGAGGACTGTCACCTCTATGCCTTGTTAAAACGCAAACTTTTTTGCTAAAGTCAGGGTCAGAGATTTTGGTACCTGTAGAGACCAGACCAGGAAGGTGACTTGACCAGGATCCCATTCAAAGGTGCTCTGACCCGCCCAACAGTTGCTGCTTAGGCATGTGGGGTTGATGTTCCAGAACTTTCTCTGCTTTGGATTCTATTGGAAACCCTTTTTACAGGAGCCCTTTTACTTTTCCAATATTGGGATTGTTTTCAAATTCAAATTAAAAATCATCTTGGGGTTCCATAAAGCCTGTTGATGGAACAAACCTCAGGTATGGGTATATCAGGGGCTGCTTTCTTACCCCTGCCTGGCCCTAGCCCTGGGATGGGCCCCCTGGGATACTCAGGCCAGTTGTCCCTGTGACTTACAGAGCCTAAGAAGGTTGGCAACAGACTGGCTGTTGCTCTTGTCCTAGGATGCTGAGGCCAGGATCTAGGGATGGAGCTGCTGGTTTTCTCCAGACACCTGCCCACACGGGAGGGCCAGACACTCTAGTCACTGGGGTGACTCTGTGAGAAAGGCCCCTGGGTGCTGCGCTGAGCTAGACCTTCTGGAGTTCAGCTTGAGGAATCCCAGAGGCCTGCCTGGAGGCAGGGTTCTGAGGGGGAGGAGAGCGCTCACCCGACCCCACCTCGCTGGTGCTGCCCTGGTGGGTGTGGCTTGTCTGTCTATATCCTGTGGGACCCAGGTGATGGGAGCACGGCTCAAGACAAAGTGTGGCCACATCCTTCGGTCCCCACTGTGTGTCCACGGTCTCCTGGTCACTGTGATCCCCAGCTTTGCATCTGCTGCCCTCCATCCACTCACAGAGACCCAGCAGGCCACTTTGTCTTGGCCCTGAGCCCCTGCTGTTCCTATTGGCCAAATACTTTCCCTCCCTTCCAAGGCTATACCAACCTGTCCTCTTTTGGGAGGCCCCACCCACACCCAGGTCTGGGGAAAGGTGCCTCCCTCCCCTGATGCCAGGCCTCCGGCATGACCCCTTCTTGTCCCCAGCTCAGTTCCCTGAGACTAAAGCTCAGGGTTGTGTCAGATTTGCCCAATGACCTGCTGAGCACAGCAGGAAGCCTGCCTGCCTCTCTGTAAGGGGCAGTGGCACACCTTTGCAGCAGGGTAGGGGGCCCTTGTCATGCTCCAGATTCCTAGGCCCCCAGGGGTACAAGGCCCACAGGGCTTAGTGTTGTCCTGCTGTGACTGTCTAGTGCCCCGGTCATGCTGCTGCAGTCTAACCAGTGGCTCTTGTCTCTCTTCCCCAAGCTGACATCATCTCCACTGTTGAGTTCAACCATACTGGGGAGCTGCTGGCCACAGGCGACAAGGGTGGCCGGGTGGTCATCTTCCAACGGGAACCAGAGGTATGTGTGTGGAAGGGTCTCAGAGGAGGCTGGAGGAGAATAGGCAGATGGCCACAGGGCAGGCGTGGTGAGGGGAGTCAGGTGTGAGGGTAGGGTAAAGTGAGGGGCCAGTAGGGTGGAGTCAGGTGGGAGGATGTGGTCTGGCAGGGTGGTGACTATGCTGAGCAAGGCCTCTGAAGCATGGCACCTTAGGAGTCCCATGAGGGTGCCTGGCTGAGACCCGTGCTGCATCCACTCACTGCCGGGTCTCTGAAGTTGGAGGCAAAGGGATGATGGGATAGGACTTGCAGGTGCACTGGGTCAGCTCCCAAAGCCGTGTAAACCCCCATACCCCCAACTCAACAGGAGTTTGCAGATTGCTCACTGCATGCTGAAGCCCCAGGCAAACCTCCAGGGCAGGCAGAGCCCCCAGTGATGCCTGGATGGCCTCGGGGTGCTACACAGAGAGGGAAGGAGTCAGTTCACTCCCACCCTGTTCTCTGCAGGCAGGATGGGCCTGGTGGGGTTTGCTCAGGCGTCCACCCTACCAGGCCATCTTTATCCACTATTCTGCCTTTGCCTTGGGACCATCCACCCAGGCTGTCATTTCTGAAACCCTAAAGAACATGATCAGAGCCCCCATTTACTGTGAACCCGCTATGTGTAGACAACTTGCTGGTTTGGATCCATACCCATTTACAGATACGCCATCCAGCAGTGAGTCCCATGGAGACCTGCTGGATTCCTGGCTGTGGCCTGTCACACACTACCCCAGCAAGGGGTCTCTCTTCATCAGATGCACTGGAGATGACAGGGGAACCTGAGACACTCTAGGAACCAGGGAGGGAAGAAGGGAGAGGCTCAAGGGAGGCGAAGCAGGGAGCAGGGTCCAGGCGCTGCAAGCCACCTTCATCCCACCTGAGTTTAGTCCTTGTGCTGCCACCTAGTGTTGCCTCGTGTGGCTGCTCGTGGCTGCCCCACAGAGGAGAGAGCTGCTATTAACCCTCCCCTGACATCCCGGGAACCACAGCACAGAGAGCTTAAAATAGCTCACCAAGGGCAGCCGAGGGACAGCCCAGTGCGCACAGGTGTGTCCCAGCAGGATGCAGCAGGGCAGCTGTCTTCTTGCTCACTGCAGAGGGAGAGGGAGGTGAGACCAGCAGAGGTGGGGCGCACTGGTACCAGCTTTTGCCTTTTGTTTTTCCTTTCTCTGACCTTTGTCAAGTAGTGCTCGTGGGAAGAGGCGGCAGAGACGTGGAAGGACTTTCAAGCTTTTCTAAAGCAAGGCAGGAACAGGGACTAAAAATAGACACTTTTTCAAAATGAGCAGACACCTGAAGCTGTGCGTGGCTGACCATCTTCATTTGTTCCTAGCCGTGGTTTCTCGTTGTCATAGAAACTTGTCAGCTAGGAGAGTGGTCCCTGGTGCCCATGGCAGACCAGCAGCTCAGTATTTGGGGGGTCTCCACCAAGAGGATTTTTGTGGTTGGGAATTCTGCTGCTCAAACTGGGATGGGAGCTGCCACGGAGGCAGGAAACAGGCTGCCCAGCCTCGGCGCTGGTGTCTGAGCTCAGCGGAGTGAGTGGTGGCCGCTTTGTGGAGCCGTGGGGCGAGCCCTTGCTGCCAGCCTTTGGGGGAAGCCTCAGGGTGAAAGCGGAAGGTTCTAGAAGTTATTGGCTCAGTGTCCCATTCTTAGGGGGGGCTCAGTAAAGTTGAGCTCGGTTGTTGCTGCTCTTCCCGTTCAACGGCTGAGGAGATGTGGAGCCAAGTACTGGACATTTAAAATATAGATTCCAGGGCTGGGAAGATGGTTCAGGCGGTAGAGTATTTGCCTTGCAAGCATAAGGAAAATTTGTGTGCCTTTAATTACCGTGCTGGGAGGTGGACACAGGCAGGATCCCTGGGACTTGCTGGTCCATCTAGCTTAATTGATGAGTCAGGCCAATGAGACCCTGGCTCAAAAGAGGGGGACAGTGTTCCTGAGGCTGACACCTGAGGTTGTCTGCTGGCCTCTGCATGCATGTGCACACACATGCTCCCACACCCCTGTATACACATGCACCCACACCTGCACACACATATGCACCCTCACATATACATATGCACCCGCACACACACGTGTGCCCGTACACACTCCTGTACACACACGTGCACCTGTATTGAAAGTAGTTTCCTTTGGCTGATAGTGCTGAGGGTGACCTGCTGCCAGATGGCATCAGCTGTCCCCGTGCAGCCTCCATCCTCTCTGGCACTCTTGCAGCTTAGTCTGCCTCTGGGTTTCCTTGCAGAGTAAGAACGCTCCTCACAGCCAGGGTGAGTACGATGTGTACAGCACTTTCCAGAGCCACGAGCCAGAATTCGACTATCTGAAGAGTCTGGAGATAGAGGAGAAGATCAATAAGATCAAATGGCTCCCGCAGCAGAACGCCGCACACTCACTGCTGTCCACCAACGGTGAGGCCGGGGTGGGCGCAGCTGCTGTGTGAGCTCCACAAGCTGCCCTGACCCCACTCGTGCTTCGAGGGTTCTTTGGGGCCTTAGTGCTGATTTGAGCAGCATTGAGTCCCCTGGAGGAGCAGACCAGCCCCTTTGGCTTTCCCTGGCTGGCCCGAGTTTGCCCACCATTGTAAGCAGCAGTTAGTAACATCTCCAGGGTGAAGATGAACTTGAATGTTCCAGACAACAGGGACCAGGCCAGAAACCACCAGACACAGACTGAACTCTCAGACAGAGCCCCAAACCACCCAGACTGGGGCTGTCCCTAATGGTGGTGGGAACAGACAGGTGGGAGCTGGCTGGCCTCTGTCCCTATGCTTCAGGAGAGGCTGTGTGACCCCAGAAAGCTATTGCCAAGTGTATGCTCTGCCTGCCACCCCAAGGGAGCAGCTCTAGGCTTCCCAGCTCCTGCTGGCTCAGGGAAACCACCTGGGTCCCACACTCTCCTGTTACCCCTCCTTCCCTTCCTTAGCCCCTGTGAGTCAGAGTTGAGAGTCCGGGGGACAGGCTTAGGTCCAGGCCAGCCCTGCAGACTAGGGGGATGTGGCCTCAGTTTCTACTCTGTTGAGGGGGAAGACTCAGCTCCCTTCTGGGGTTATGGGGAGATGATGTCTACCCAGTACTCTGAGAACGGAAGCACAATGTGAGTCTCAAAGACAGGCTGGTAAGGTGACATCACCTGTGCCACCCATGAGGAAGTACGGCTGCTTAGGGGACCCCCAGAACTTTCTCTGGAATGACAGTCCTTGCTGCCTTTCTGTCCTCACTGTCTCTCTCATGGTCACCTCTCTCTTCTCTCCTCTCCATCCACTGGGTGTCGCCTCGTGAAGCCTGCTTTGATGTCTCAGCCCCTCCTGGCCCCGGGCTTACACCCACCCCCATGTCAGGGCACTTGCTACTCTGATTATGTCTCTGCCCTTCTCCCAAATGGCAGGATCTGTCTCTCCTGGGGGCCTGGCCTTGTGCTCAGTTCACTGTCACCTGAGCTCTGGGCCCTTCCTGGTGAATGGAGAGAGTTTCATAACTCCTTCAAGACAGGATACTGGGGATAAGAGCTAGGCCTTGTGTGTGTGTGTGTGTGTGTGTGTATCTGTGTGTGTCTGTGTCTGTGTCTGTGTGTATATATGGTATGTGTTCATATGTGTGTCTGTGTGGCATGTGTGTATGTGGTATGTGTGCGTGTGCGTATGTGTATGTGTGTGTATATGGCATGTGTATGTGGTGTGTGGGGCGTGTGTGTATATGGTACGTGTGCATGTGTATATGGTGTGTGTATGTAGTATGTATCTGTGGCATGTGTGTATGTATGTGTATGTGGGTGTATGTGGCACGAAGATGTATAAAACGAATTGCAGGTACCAAAGCCTCCTGTGATGGCGAGGGTCAAACTGCAGACATGGGACCCCGGGAGCTGGCTTCTGGATGGCAGATGCCACTGAGTTGGGAACAGCAGCTGGGCTACCCTGTTCATCTCAGGAAGGCACAGTGATTCAGTCCCAGTGTAGCGCTCAGTGAGCGCCCTTGAAAGGGTCATGCCTTTGACCCAGCAAGTCCCCAATAGGGTCAGTGACTGGAAAAGACAGTGAAGTCAGGTTCCCTGCACACAGTGCTGTTTACCACATCCATCTACACACAGCATAAGGTGTGGGAGAACAAAGGCACAGCTGACTTCTGGGGCACATGCCGTCATCCCTCAGGTGGAGTGGCTGTCTGTCCTGAGGCATGTGCCGTTGTCCCTCAGGTGGAGTGGAGTGGGTGTTCTGTCCTGGGGCACATGCCATCGTCCTTCAGGTGGAGTGAGTGTTCTGTCCTGGGGCACATGCCATTGTCCCTCAGGTGGAGTGGGTGTCTGTCCTGGGGCACATGCCGTCGTCCTTCAGGTGGAGTGGGTGTTCTGTCCTTGGCCTGTCGTTTGATGAAGTGCCTTGTTTTTCCCTGTTCTGTTCTTAAAGATAAAACTATAAAACTATGGAAGATTACTGAGCGGGACAAGAGGCCCGAGGGGTACAACCTCAAAGATGAGGAGGGAAAGCTCAAAGACCTCTCCACAGTGACGTCACTGCAGGTGAGCCTCAGTACAGAAGGTTCCAGTCTTAATCTTCTTCTGACTCACGAGGCATTTAGAGTTGGCCAGGCTGCTTCCATACAGAATGTTCCCTGCTCTGTGCCTCAGTTTCCCCCACAATGAAATTCAGAGGACTGTCCTTCAGGGAGTCTGCAGAGCATGAGGCTTGGGGGGCCTGTGTCTCCGAGGTGCTTACCTGCAACTGAGGGGGACAGCAGGTCAGAGAACGCCTGTTACAGGAAGGGGAAACTGAGGCCAGAGTGAAGCTATACCTCACTGTAGCAGTTCAGTTGAACTCTGTGCACCCTGAACCCTGGGCTGTGGGGCAAGAGGGAGATAGGACATTGAACGCCCGTAGCGCTCACAAAATCCAGCTGGCCAGATGCTCTTTGGTGCCAAGAAGGCTGGAAGGTCACGCTGTGGAGTTGTGCCAAAGTTGACCCTTGTTCTGCCTGATTAAAAGGCGAAAGGACTTGTGTCCTCCGACTTCTGGAGCCTCCTCAAAGGAGTGCGATAGCCTTCTGGGCAGCCTCTGGCCACAGTTCCTGTAATTTTCACCAGCCCCATGAAGAGGTCCTGCTGTGTCATCCCATTTCACAGAGGAGCAGAGTTGGGGCTGGGACCTGAATCTGGGCAAGGCAGACTCTGGAGTCACCACCCTGTCCATACAAGGTGGGAAGGAGGTTCCCATGTCCTACCAGAGCCATGGGGTGGACAGTGGTGTCAGTTCCTTCCTTCTGCAGCAGGTTGGGAGGCAGCTGGAACCACCTCATCACATCCCTGGCCTCTAGGATGGGGTTCGGGCTGAACAGGCCGAGCACAAATGTGTTCACTCAGCATAGCTGATCTGATCAAAGACCATGACCTAGCCCTGCATGAGGCCCTGGGAACCACAGTGACCAGGTGTCCCGAGCACCTGGGTCAAGTGCAGTTCCCAGGAAGTAAGCTGAGAGGGCTGGAGAGTGAGCCTCTCCAGGGCATCATGGGAAATCCTTCCCCCGCCCAACGCTTCTTCTGAACCAGTAGTATTTAGTTGAGGTGGGCTGCTAGCACTTCTCCAGGCCTCCGGGTCACTTGTTGACAAATTCCCACAGCCATTTCCCTGCTCTGTGACTCAGTTTCCTCACTAGTAAAACAGATATGAAAATTGGGTTCCTTGAAACAGCTTAGCAGGTATCCATATGGCTGGACCTCGTGAGCTGTTCAGGGAGATTTAGCAGGTGCATAAGGTGAGCATCCAGCCAGTTGTCATAAATACAACACTGTAATTAATGCTGATCTTGAGAAGAAATAAACATGTACAAAATGGCCTCTAAGTGACTGTCCAATAATAAATTCTGAGGATGCAGGAAAGCCAGTTGGCTTTGATACTGAGTAATGGGGGGAGACGCTCCATCCCAGGAGCACCAACAAGGGTTTGTTTTCATGGAGCCAGAGGCCCATGGACATCAAACAGGTTTGCTGTCTAGCGTGGGTCATCCACCTATAGACACTATAAACTGAGGCTGGAGGAGAAGGGAAGCCTGTGGGTGTCCTGGTCTGTCCTCCTGCCTCTTACCGTGTTTGCTTCCACATGCCACCAGAGCCTCCCCAGCCTCATGCAGCTCTTAGTGCCTAATCATGGTGGAGGTGGTCGGAGTGTGCTGAGAAGCTGCTGTGTGTTAGGTCCCTGGGGCTCAGAGGTGAGTCCAGCACCCCTAGCTCAGGGACACAGCCTTTCATGCAGTCACTGAGGACGGCTCTGTGTGGGTACCATACAGACCCCTCAGGTGGGTGCCAGAGAGACAGAGAAGCAACGGAAGGAATGTCTTAGCCTTCCCATAATGCCCAGTGCATCAGAGAAAGACCGGAGCAGACCTGAGGGCAGGCCCGGGCTGTGATGAAGGCCTGCCGGGTGGAGATCAGCAGCTGGTATGTGGCCTGGCCAGGGCTGTGATGAAGGCCTGCCATGTTGGACACAGTGCACAGCTTTCCCCTCTAAGGAAAAGACTTTATTTTGAGCCAAATATGAGAGACCTTGGGAGCACAGATCTGGGCTACAGTTACATGAGCTTTTAAGAAGTCATAAATCAAGACATTTTCCAAATATATTGATGGGAACAGCAGGTAGACAGTTTACAGCAAAGCGGGGGATCTCTGCTACAGGTCTCAAATGCTACCTGATGACACTCTTAACTTTGGGTTGGTGGAAGATGCTGGTCTACTAAGTTTATACACTCCAAAAGTTTCACGTGAAAGTTGAAAGGATGTTAGGTCTGAAACAGAAGCGGACGCCCAGTAGCTATCAAGGGGACTAGCAGTAGCCCAGGATGATGTCGCTCTGGAAGTAGCACTCCAGATCCCCCAGTCTCCAAGTTCTAATCAGTCAAGCCTGTAGAGTCTTCAAGGTAACTGTGGCTTTCTTCTGGTAACTTAGATTCATAGTGGGGTGGGTCAGTTTCAGCTACTGAGCCCTCTGTGTAGGCCAGGAAGCTTTGAAAACCGTAGTTGAACAGCTGGGTGCAGTGTGCTGGGTGAGCAGGCTGGGAGAGGGACGTTTGCCATCTTACTTCACACTCCCTGCAGGTGCCTGTGCTGAAGCCCATGGACCTGATGGTGGAGGTCAGCCCCAGGAGGATCTTCGCCAATGGCCACACCTACCATATCAACTCCATCTCTGTCAACAGTGACTGTGAGACGTACATGTCGGCAGATGACCTACGCATCAACCTCTGGCACCTGGCCATCACTGACAGGAGCTTCAGTATCTTTGACCACGGTCCACAGGGAGATGACTTGGGGTGGGACGTAAGCATGCCAGCTGGTCAGCGTTTTCGCTGAAGAATCTTCCCATCCGGGGTGCAAATAGAGCAGATACAGGCTCACATGCTGACTGGGTATAAGCACTTTAAAGGCACGGCTGCTAAGGGCTCCATCACCCTGGGGCATCCAAGGGAGCATTAAGGAACAGGAGAGCCCAGAGGTCACGTACCCCAGATGAGGGTTTCCTAGATGCTCCCCATCCCCTCTGTAGGCACGGAGGCAGGTTGCATTCCTGTGTGATGGGCTTGCCCTGAGTGTAGAGTGACAACTGGGGTGTCAGGAGCCCAGAAGTGGGTTCCTGTGTCAGAGTGAGCTAAGTTCCAGAGCACTGAGCATTACCTTTCCCACAGCCTGCTAAGGAGGGGCCCACTCACAGGACACAGGAGCATAGACAGCCCTTTGTTAGGGAGGGAGGGCCAAGGCCAGGGCGGCAGGCTGCTCCTGTTCTGTGGACCATTAATGACCATGCTGGACTCTGTGCTCGGCAGTACTGTGTTAACTTTAAGTCACTTCAGGCAGCACCGTCACTACCTCTTTCTAGTAAGGAAACCTGAGTCATAAAGTCCCAAGTTCATAGCTGACAAGTGTCCACTGGGAGAGGGTGAGAGTCAGGGCAGGACCTAGCCATGATAGAGACAAAAAGAATGCAAATGTAAGAGATTCGAGTTGTATCTGAACTGTCTTGGGTTCCAGGTGGCCACAGTACATTAGAACTGCTTAGCTGTGAATAAGGAAAGAGTAGATCACCCCAGTGCTGAAAGTTATCTGTTACTGCCAGCCTGGCCTCCTTGCCCCATCCTGAGTACACGGATTGTGCCTGCCCATGTTGAGGACCACAGCATTCAGCAGCAGGTGTTTTAAAGCACCCACTGTGTGCCAAGCCAGTGATAGGCTTGCTGCTGACACTAGACATGTGAGGTCCTGCCCTGCAAGAGTGGACAGATGTCAAACTCTTTGTGAATGGCCACTGGGAGCTGGTAACCAGTGCTGGGATGTTGGGGCCTGGCTGGCATGTGCTGAGCACTCTCCAGCTATTTCTGCTGTGGGCCATGGGCTCTCAGGTGCCCACGCTGAAGCTCATGATAGGCAGAGAGGGAGTCAAAGTGAACCTGCAGGCCTGGAGCAGATGGTGTGTGCAAGTGAGTAGGGTTTGGACCAGAGAACTTGAGGCACTGAGGGAGGGTGGAAAGGAAGGAACATCAGTGGACTGGGGGCCTCGTGGGAGCTGGGGGCTTACATAGCTGTTATAGAACTCTGTGTCTGACCTGTGTCTGGCTTTGTGAAAGTGCATTATTAACTGGCAACAGGAAATGTGGGGTTTACGCCCTTGAGGAAAGCATGAATGTCAGATGCTGAAGACCTGGAGCCAAGCTAAGGTGGCTGGACCAGGGAAAACTAGGTCTTTGGTGGAGCTGTGTGCAGTCTCCAGGCATCTGTGGACTTCTTACCTGACCAAGCTGTCCATCAGTGAGCCATGCTGCCTCCCTAAGGCCTGTTGGTGCCAGGCCACAGAGTGACAAGACTCAGGCCCAGGACAGAGTACCAGTGCTCGTCCCATGGAGACTTGCCTCCCTTAGCAGGGAAGGTGTCCAGAGCCTGGGCTGCAGGTGCTTTTGTGGGTCTGATGACAGCTGAGTAATTAGAGAAGTCTCGTTTCCGGCATGGGTAGGGCTGGAAGGGGGCTATGAACTGGAGCTGGACTGGGGATAGGTCTGAGCTTATAAGACAGCCTCTGAGCAGGGGTCACCTGGAGGATTGTGGCCCATCTGTCCTGAGAAGGAGGCTGAGGTCAGGTTGGGAGGCTCTGCTGGGTGCAGGGAGCTGGGCCAGGGTGTTGCATCCATTTCTGTCTTGCTCTTGGTGTCTCTTCTGGTCCCAAGGGTGCTGTTCTGTCCTCATGGCCCGCTAGCGGTTCTCTGTCCAAATATCTGCATATTCTATGGTAGCAAAACCAGAATTTCCTGAAGTTCTGAGGAGAAAGGAGAGCTTATTAGGGCAGGAGAAAGAGTTGCTTTGACCACTGACAGTGGAAGACCAGCTCCAAGGACATTTCCTCTGTGGTCACCCCTTGACTGGCCACGTTGGCAGCCAGTACACTCATACCAGCATCATAGGTTGGGGTCTCCCTTCTGCTCCTCCTCCCTGCCCTCCCGGTGGACAGAAGTACTGAGGCCTCTCTGCTTCTCACTGGACCATCACCTGAATCCAGCTTTACCAGGAGCTGTAGAAGTGACTGGAGGGATGTTAGCTGACCTTGTCAGCCCCTGCTTGAAGCTCTCAGTGCTCCTTCAGCTTCCGGGAATCTGCTCTGAGCCCCTCAGTGGTGGCCTATGGCCCTTGGTGACACCTCCCATGTCCCTTCCACCCACCATCAGACTTGACCCTCCTTCAGGGACTGTGGGGTTGTGCTTCACCCTCTGCTGATCTAGTCTCCTCTTGGATCCTGTGATCCATTTGTCCGCAAGCCTCTACTCACAGCTCAATGGCCCAGTCCCACCTGTCCTCTCCACCCCCCTCCTGGACTGGCAGTGTCCTTGGGGCCCCAACACCTCTGATTCCTGGATATATGGAGTTTTCTGTGACTACTCCCCGCCCTTCTGATGGAAGCCTTGGGGTTTGGAGCCTAGAACGAGGCCTCCCTCTGTCCCTGGCACCCCACAACCCAGCTCAGAGGTACTGTGAGTAGAGACAGAGAAGGCTTGTGTCCTCAGAGTGAGGAAGCCACCACTTCCATGTATATCTGGGACAGCTACTTCCCTGCTTGTCTGGAACCCAGGTGACTCAGACCCCAGACCCTAAGGAGCTGGAGGTCCCACGGTGCTTCATTCAGGGTTCTGCCTCTGCTTCCCAAGTGGAGGGTCACATGTTGTCCCCCAGCACCACTCAGCCTGTTAAATCACCTCACGTCTTGTAATACCAACACTGGAGCTCACTCATTGCCTCTTCAAGGTAATAAGACTGTGCAGGAGGCCTGGGCTTTAGTTTCAGCACCCAGAGAATTTTAAGATGAGTGAATTGATTTTTCTCCCCCTGAGTGCTTTCTTGTGCTGGAAGCTGGTGTGACAGCAAGTCCTGATCTGCACCTCGTTTCTTACTTGCATTTGCAGCGCAGGCCCTGTGCTACTAGGAGTTCCGGGGTACAGGGGTCGGGAGATGGGGAGGTCAGGACCTTGGCCAGCACCTGCCTCCCACTCACTGAGCACCCTGGCTGCTATTGTCCATTCCGTGTAGCTGTGCCTGCGGGGCAGGTGATAGAGGCTGAGCGGCCACTGGGTACACAGGGCCCAGTGTGGTGTAGATACACAACTCTTACCAGGTCATGACACGCTGTGAGGTTCCTTCTGGCAGCCCCTCCATCCTGCCCACAGCAACACTGCAGAGAAAGCAGGTCTGCTCACAAGTGCTGCCCATGGCTTTCAGGGTAGGTGGAATGGATGGTGTGAAGCAGAGGGTAAAAGTCTGCATCCTGGGTCCTGGTTCCCGCTTGCTGCTACCCACCCAAGGTTCTGTGCATTTGTCTGTTCAACAGTTACTTGGGGCTGATTCTGTTGAGCATTTGACCAGGTGCTGGGGATACAGGGAGAGTGTTTGGCAGGATTTTCCAGTGCAGTGCATAGGTTGTCTATTGCACAAAGGAGCTGGTGGGTGGGGCCAGAATTCCAAGCCAGGCACCCAGAGAAGAGCCTTTTAAAAATTCGTGTAAAGGGGCTGGAGTGATGGCTCAGTGGTTAAGAGCACTGGCTGCCCTTGAAGAGGACCCAGGTTCTATTCCTAGCACCCACATGGTGGCTAACACCACCCATAATTCCAGTTCCAGAGAATCCGACACCTGCTTCTGACCTCCACAGGCATTGCACAGCAGGGGTGCACTTACACACATGCAGACAATATACTCATACACATAAAATAAAAAAAAATTTCGGGGGGTCTTTTTGAGACAGGGTCTCCCTATAGTCCTAGCTGGCCTGGAGCTCAGTGTAGACCAAGCTGGTGTTGATCTCACAGAGCTCTGCCTGCCTCTGCCTCCCAAGTGCCGGTAATTAAAGGGGTGTGCCACCCTGCTCAAATAAAATACTTTTTAAAACATATAAAAGAATCTTGTAAAAAGGCATGTTCTAGTTTCACTCATGTTGCTGTGATAAAATGTTCTGACAAAAGTAACTTTTTGATAAAAGGGTTTATTTCAGCTTGCAGTCGCAGTTAAACCAGTCCTTCATTGCGGGAAAGTCAAGAAAAGAACCTCAAACAGCTGGTCACATCAGTCAGGATCAGAGAGAAGTGAATGAATGCTCACTTGCTTGCTTGGGCTCAGCTTGGCTTCTCTGTTCTTGAACAATTTGAGACCCTTTGCCTAGGGAATGGTGACACGCACAGTGGGCTGGGTCTTCTCACAACAATTAATTAGGACAATCCACCACAGATGTGTCCACAGACCAACCCGACTCTTGCCAGGTGACACTAGGCTGTGCCAAGTTGGCAGTTAGAGCTGACTGTAACAAGTGTCTCTTTGTAAGTTGCACAGACACCTTTGGAGTGAGTGGACCGCCATACTGCTCTCCTGGGACTTCTGGTTGAGCAGTAAGAAAGACCTGGGACGGACTGAGTGTCCAAGCCCTGCAGATTTCCCCTCCGAAAATGCCCAGAACAAGCCTCCCCTGAAAGCATGGGTCTAGGCACCATCATTGCTCACCCTAACTTCCTTCTGAGATACTGGGCCCCTGGGTGCTGGTTACAACCCTGGCCCCACGGTATGGCACCTCTGTGGACTTCCATGCCTGTAGTGGGAGGAGACCCCTGCTTGCAGGGCAGTGTTGCCCCATCCTCACTGGTGGGGCCCAGTTCTAGACCTGCCTTGCTTCATGTCCCTTTACATTTCCCAATAAGACAGCCAAGGTTTTAAAACCGAGAAACCTGATCGTGCCACTGCCTGCCTAGAGCTCT